CTTAAATTCAAGTTCAAAATTAAACTGTAATTCATTTAAATATTTTAACTCCAATAATATTCCACCCCAACAATAATATATCTCGCATGAACCAGAAAATTTTAAATAAAACCAAAACATCAATAAAAATAAATATAATTACAGCACTTGAAAATTGCTTCAGCCTGAAACTTGGAGTTGTGCAATTAATGTAAGATAAATATAATCTCAGTAATAGCAATTTAGACAATTAATACTCACCGTTTTAGAAAAAATGAAAGCTTCTAATTTCATCGATATTTAATGCACTAGAACTGAGAATTAATGTCCTGACATCTGATGAGAGTCTCCAGTCATAATAAAGGAGGAAAGTATTTTTATTTTTTTAACATAAAATCCAAAGCAAATAATCTCATCCGTTCACTACAAGTCATTTAATTTATTTTCCAGCGTCCTGCTACCAAAGATATTTGCTAACTGAACGGGAGATTCTGTTATTTTACAATATAATCTCTTTTGGCGGCAATGTCCGAGCGACGTTGGTAATTTATCATTGTCGCAATTAATATATTAAACTTCCAATAATTGTGGTAAAATTTAAAACTGATTTCTTCAAATTTGTAAGATTTACGGATAGTAAATAGCCTAATTGTTTGACATATTCGTAGAAATGGACGTGTGTCTGATTTAGAGAAAGTTCACACATTTTAGAAAGTATCATTACTCACAGTTCACAGGAAAAAAAAGAAGTGTAAGTGTAATTTAGCATATCTGTGAGTATGTTAATTTTTAGTTGTTTCGCTTATCTCGTTGAATAATGGGAGTGAAATGGCGTAGATTTGTGTTGTCGACCCAGCATTTTTGACTGACTAGGATCTGTTGCAAAGTATCGAATTTATTTGTTTTTTATGTAATAAAAACACTGTTTTTGAATTTACTGAAAACCGACGTCAACTGATTGAAAATTCTTTCTTTTTATACCGCGCGATTTGTTTTCTACTACGTCCGCAAATTGTTAATATTCTTTTAATTTAAGTTTTGGTTGCCGTTTTGATATGTATATATTGTCCAACTTTTTGTATGACATTCTGAATATGCCTTTGAAATCTTTCGAAGCTAGCTATTTATATTGTCCAATTTTTGTATTACTCCAGTGTAAAGACAACTTAAACCAAGAAAAAGAATTAGAGATGCTATTTTACTGATTTTCACGCGTCATAATAGTCAACAATCTTTCCACTGCCATCCTATAAATATCCCTTTAGGCAAAAGAGGCAGACAGAAAAAAAATGAGTTGATAATGTTACTGAATGAACTGGATGAGATTCTGGTATTAGCGGGCAACAGAGACAGATGGAGAGAGCTGTTCAGGTACTTAGTTGCGTATTGACCTTAAACCCGGTCGTGTTATTATATTGATCTCGCAGAAGTTAAAATCCAGTCTTTCTTTTGCCACGAAAAATCTTTTTGGTTTCAAAAGCAGTTAGTTTTCTTAGATTCAGATAATTATGTGAATATTCATCTCTTCTTTCAGTCTTACTTTTTCTTTCTCTTCCGTTTTATTTCCGTGCCCTTTCGTCGGACAGGCGTTTTTTAAAGCACACATCATGGCGGCATATTTAGACAAAATCCTCATTAAGTGATGCTGTTTTTTTCCCTGTGAGCTACGGCTTTAGTTTTCGTCTTGTGATGATATGCGGTCGCTAATCAATTTCTAATTTTGAAATAACCTTGTGAAACATTGATCTGATGAAATTAGAACATAAAACTCTGTTTACTCCCACGCGATGTCGGATTGAACAGACAGCAGGGTTGGACTTGTTGAAACTGGAGATTTAATTTTAAAACAAGAATCTTTCATTAACTCACTGACTCCTTCTCCAAGCTCAAATCATCAATTGATTTCCATTGGTCGTAAACATCGCATCAGTTGGGTGTTTGTTGCAATGTACAATATTTGGTTATAAATAACATTATTGATATGTCGGTATTGGGTTAGTGTTATACCGGAACATTACCTATTCTATTGTAATAGACTCTCCCACACATAATAAGTAGTAGTAGTAGCGGTCGCCAGTTGGGCTCAGTGGAGTTGAGTGAGTCAGTCGATGTCGGACATTGAAGTATCAACCACCCCAAATAGATTGCTGCGTCATTAACTATTATTTTCAAGTTCCTAACGTTTTGTACCTCGGACCCTTTTAGGACCGACTTATTGAAATACAAGCCTCCACTGTGGAAACTACTTTACAACAGTTAGCAAATAAGTTTGGGCGGCTTTAGTATTTATCCATAAACTAATTATAAATTATTACAGATTATTTGGGCAATTATCTGCTTTCGACATCAGAAACTGAAGGTAGCGGGGCTACTCAGTTACTCAGAAGAACGTAAAGTTTTGTTTCTTTTAGAATGAGGACAACACATCAAAGTATAGAAACAAATTGATGCCTTCACCCCAATCCTGAAAATGAAAACAAGCGGATATTCAAAAAAGGTTATCTTTCTCCACAAGTCCGACACGTCGTGCCTGTCCATAGTCCAGGAAAACTCATTCTCTTCTTGGTTTCTATCAAAATATTGTTCCCTCTGTAATTTTCTCTGATTGGCCATTGCGGGTCACATGACCGACCAAGCGTGAGATGTTTACCATTGGTCATGACTATCGAAGCCATTGTTTATTTTTGTCTTACTAATTGTTCATCCCATACAATACCCAAGAGCCATTCAAGGTAGAGGTTTACTGAATAAGTATGTTGTATAAACGTAGGAGAGTAAGAACAGATCATGAGTACGTACAGGAAAGATAACGGTTAACCCTAGACTTGAAGAAGTTAAGATTGTAGTGATCGGGGATGCATCCTATCGGGGATGTGTTCCATAAAGAAACGGCTCTCGGGAAGAAGCTGTCCGAATGGAACTTACTCATTCCCTTCATATTCCATTAGTAAAAACTATGATTCGTCTTAGGGAACGTGGCCTGACGGATCTTAGATATGTAGGTCTGAACTGGTGTAACTAAGGAATCTATTTTTTTCCAGAACATTTGCCATGGAAATAGTTATAGGCTTGCGACGTTTCGTTTTTGGGGAAAGAGGTTGTGTGGTTTAAAAAATTCATCACCGCTAGCGTTGCGTATATGCTTTTTGAATTCTGTCATTGCTGGAAAGTGGGGATTGAGCAGCTCCAACCCAGATATGGTAGCAGTACCCGAGTTGTTGGCTAATCTGGCTCTTGTCAAGACAGAGCATGGCAGGAGGAACCAGATAGTTTCTAGAGCGCTACAAAGAACAGAACATTTTTCCAGCATCTTTTTAGCAATGGATCGTATATATGAGTTTTACTGAACGTCAAAGCCCTTTAGTGAGATACTGATTATCATTGAAAAACTAGACTATATGTATACACACATTTTTCTGTATCTAAGCATACCTTGTACATTTTTTAATATCCTGTTTCTTCAGGGCTTATCGTGACTTTCTATAGATTTATTTTCATTATTATCAGTGAAGTACCACGCATTTTTGAAAAGATAGTGGAGTGGTTTTCTGTTGCCTACTCAACTGTTTTTGATTTTATAATTTTCCTTCTCTATGATTAGAGAGTCCTGTCTATCCTGTTATTTAAACTCCAGCTGAGCGGGGAAGGATGGTTCATGCCTTTCCCTATTTACAGGATGCGATGTATAACTTGTCTAAATCACGCAAAAAGAAAAATAACAATGACATCTCATTTTAAAAGATATATTTACCAAAATTAGATAAAAATATCTTGATTTGCTAAAGAGTAACTTTATTCAATAAAATCGCCATTGGCTTCAACCACGACCTCCAGACGACTTCGGAATCTCCTGCAACTCTTCTGGATAGTCTCTTTATTTAAGTTGGTGAATGCAGCCATAATCCTTGCCTTCAGTTCATCTTTGGTCTCTCGCTCAACTGCGCCCTACACACAATAATGAAGGGGGTTGCAGTCTGAGGAATTAGGTGGCCAGATGTAAGGGAGGGGATGTGATTGTCAAAATTGTCTGACAGTTATGACTGGGTTCTCCTGCTTATGTGGCATGGTGCAGAGTCCTGTTGCCAGACACAGAGTCTTTCTGAAGCCACCCTCTCGACCTAGGGCAGCACTGACTCCTCAAGGCATTTGATGTAGGCCTCCATGTTGAGTCCTAGCCCCTCACCAATAAATTATGGATTTCTTTTCTTATCAGAACGATCAGAATGAGTTTTCCGAGCTGCCGTATGTTCGTAATCACCATTAAACTCATCCAACTCTTTCCGAATACTCTGCACTGTCCTCAAATTGACACCCTGAAATGTTCGTATTGGAACGTCCGGCGCGAATGCCAAGCAGTACAGAATGCCGTTTCCAAATTTCTGGCGGATTTGAATGCGTCATTGTGTTTTTTTCTTTCAGACTGTGCCTTACTGACCCTACTATACAGTGCAGTTGGCAAAATTAAAAAGAAAGAACGCGCATGCGCGAAATTTAAAAAATAATAATAAATGATTGCGACAATTTACCCATCGCAACCTGTATACTATTTTGAACAGTATTTTTTCTCTCGATGTGTTTTGTGTCTTCACATTGCCTTGTTTATCAACAATTGCTATAAAGGTTTACTTACGTGACTATTTTATTTTCGTCAATCGGTTCAGTTGAGCTCTCTTCAATAATCTGGTTTTATTGTCGTTTGAATGTTTTGCTATCTGATAAATGTGTGTCTTGTACAATGAAAATAGATCAGGTTGGTTAAACCAACTCTCCTATTTTTAATTCCGTAGCAGTAAAACACGTAATGCACGCATATGTCAGTCTCGGAGAAACTATAGAGTTTACTAAGGTAGCTACCTGTTGTAGATTCCTGCACAGGCACATATATTCATTGGGAGGTGGGTATTTCTCTAGCCAGCATTCATCATTTGAAACAGATCCAATGGATCGCCTTCCTACTTGGAAATCTTTTAGGGTTGCGCTTATTTTTATCCATTTAAATCCAATGGTTTACAGCCGCATCACGTTGAAATACAGGTTTTCGTATGATCACCGAAGTTAAGCAACGTCGAGCCTTGTCAGTACCTAGATGGGTGACCACTTGGTAATACCTCCTTCTGTAAGCTTGGATGTGCGGAAGCTGTAATGGATAATGGTTCGGAATTGTGAATAGGAGAACAGAGTTTCAGTCCCAGTTGGTTTCGATATATTCAGGTACGCCAGAATACTCTTGGAAAGGTATGAATCTACCTTTTCTCCCCCATCTGTGGGTTAATTATTAAAAATTGTATCACCAAAAAAAAAAAAAACATTTTTACAATCTAAAAAAAAAAATTCTGGTTTTAAATAACCTGAAAAGGGTTGATAAGCCGCAAAAAACTACATTCTCTGCACTATTACTGCACTATTTTTTCTTACAGCTCTTCCCGGATTTGAACAGCATCTTTTTCATTTCATTTTATTTTGAATTCAACTAGATAAAGAATCTTCCTCTCCTCATACCAGGTTATTGGTTGATTGGTATTAGAAATAATCTTTGGCAGTCAGGCCGATCTGCCGCATTCCAGGTCCCGTTGTTTTGAACTCATGTCTTCTGTTTTTAGAAGTTTTATTGACCTGGATGTGCGCATGCGCTCATTGCATTTGGTGTGTTTTGACGTATGAACGAAAGCTACTGTCATCTGATTGCTGTGAAATCTGTTTCGACTGGTGTATATGAAAAAAAAAACGCCAATAATGATGAATTCAATTGTTTCCATAAATAAAAAACAAACATATTCAATAAAACGAGAGAAAAACATGAAAACAAAGGCTTCATTTACCAGACACAACTACACGAAACCTGAATAAATAAAAGATGTTGACCATGTTTGCCGCAGTCTCTGAATATGGAATCCAGTGAAGTCCGTAATCTGTTCAATATCAGAGGTCAGCAGTGAAGATTCAGAGAAAGTAGCAGTTGTTAAGTAATTCTTTAAGTCTTCGATATCAGGTTGGCAGTGCAGACAATTTGGGAGAAAAAATGGCTGCCTTTATACACGTCGCATTGAATATTTTGAGCTTTTTGATTGGTTAACCCTTCTATTGGTGAACTATAAAATGAGTCAGCTCATTTAGGCTAGCTCACTAGTACATACGTATACACAAAAAACTGCAACAGAAGAAAGAAAAACAGTTAACTTAGAGCCCAATCGAGTAAAATAAACCCCCGTTGCACACAACTAAAAATGGGAAAACAAATTACTTCAATATCTATCTATATCTCCGAGATGAGGCATTATGATTATTTACATTATGGTCCACTGGATAAAGGCTTTGGTTAGTGATTCAGTGACTAGACACAAAGAGTTGTGAGTTCAATAACATAATATTTAAGCGCAGTACTAGATTGGCGGTAAGGTCTCATTTTACAAACGAAATGGCTAGATGTATCTGTATTTTCTATGCTAATAGTTTCTTCTATCGCACTTCTCGCATGTGGAACTCTTTTCCGGATTTTTCTTTCCAGTGAAATTTGATCTTCAAAAATTTAAATGCAATGTCAATCGTTATCTCCTTCATTCATGTTCTTTTATTGTTCTCAATTCTTAATAATGCTTTTTTTTCTTTTATTCTTTTACACTCAGTAACCCCACCCCTTTCGTCTTAGTAGCTTTGTTGCCTTGCTTGGGGTGAAATGTTTTAAATAAAATAAAAAAATTCAAAATCATTGAAACACTCAGTCAATCGTAGCAACATGTGCAGATGTTTTTATAGTTAACGGAACGCCAAATTAACGATCCAATTCCGATCGAGTTCGTTACATAGAATTTTTTTAATGTGGAGAGATTTCGAGCTAAACTAGGCCAAAATTAATATAAACTAATTTGCATCTCTACTGAAAATTCCATGGACGGAACGAGTAAGCAACTAGTAAGTCTTAAAGAAAATGGCAACAGAATTAGGAAAAAAGAAAACAACTGAAATCCCTTGAACACATAATGAGGAAAGGTGGCTTGGAAAACTCAGTCGTCACGGAGCATATTAAGAGTGTTGGGTTTGTAAAATTCGTCTGCTCCTATATATAGAGAGATTGGTCACATGATGTTAGGCGGTCTCTCGTTGATTAATAAAACCACGTGGGTTTAAAAAAAGCTGACCATTACCAGAGAGAAGGGACCGGGCCTGCTCCGAAGCAACACGCAAGAAATTCTATCCGTCGCCAACGGTACTAGTTGCCGAGGGTTTTAAAGGTACAAGCTATCTAGCCCTATTTCCCTTCACCAGATCGATAAGTCCGCCTGACATATTGTCTCTCTATATATATATAGGAAAGGACATCGCGTTTATGTTAACAACCATTGTATTCATATTTAGGTGTAAATAAATATCTTTATTGCATTTTGATAAAATACTCATCTTATTTGTGTCAGTCCTAAAATATGGTGGGTCTAGCTCAATAAGGGTAAAAAGGGAAGGCAGCGAGCCTCTTGCCTGACGGGTTTGAGTGTATGGATGGCGGGTCTGGGTACGGAAACCTTAGCAAGAGGAGAAAAACCGCTAAGAGCCAGACGCGACAGGATGTTACAGAGAATTATGATCGCCTATGTCTTGAAAGGTACTCAGCATATAAGACATAGGAACAACATTTCAAAACAGGCAGCGAATCTGTTTCCTCTATAGATTGATAGATGAAGCACTTTTCTGTTTGAATTTCTGAGTCGAAACGTTACTATTATTTGCAGTTTGACTAATGTCCTCATCTTTCAACGGGCATGAGGGACAATTGTCCCTCATGCCCGTTGTCGACCCGGGTAACCTCCAGGGAATTTCGAATTGAAACGTTTATTTAATCTCTCCCCGTAGAAAGGTTGTGAGAGTAACAAAAGAAGATGAAGATATTAGTCTGACTGTAAATAATTTAAACGTTAAGCTCTTCATTTACGAGTGGAGTGATTTCCAAAGCGGAATAGAATATCTGACGAGACACGAGAAATGCAAGTTAATTTGGTAGATCAGCGAGTTGGTCAATCTGTTTAAATTCTTCGAAATTTTGGATAAAGTCAAAATGAAAACTTTTAGAATTGACACTAAAGCTCGAACCTGTTTTTCAAAAAAAAAAATATATATATATAACAAAACAGGAGCTCTGCTTAATTTTCAGTGAGTGGGGGTCTTTGTTCGTGTCTTCTAATTTCCACTTGGTTAAAGACGTAAAAATAAAACCTCAGATTCCACAAAGGACGTGACTTCTTTTTACGCCAATGGCGCACCTTATTTTCGTTAGGTGGAGTGGGTAAGCGTTGCTATCATGTATTTACTTTAACCCGTGCTGTGTCTTTCAATCGCTACCTTTTGTACGATAGGTTATTTGGTGCATAAAATCACGCACACGCCCCTACTGTTTTAAATACGTTTTACTCAATTCAGTTTTTATCGATATTTACTAAGTTTAGAGATGATTATGGCACGATGTTTGAAGAATATGCGCAGTAAATATCGAGCCGATTACCATCGTACTATTTTAAAAGAAAAGTTTATGGACCGGTACTCCAATGCGAGAGCAACCAGATAGTTACTTAGCTATATTTATATATATTTAGCCTGATCAGAAGAGGGTGACACTTTCATAAGTATCAAACTAACTCGATACGTGAATAGTCAAACAAGTCCAGCTTCCCATTCTACCCGAGGCATTCCTAAGTTTATTATTACTTAATATCCTCTCAGGTAATTAGATGTTTCGGTCGGGTGATGATGATCATATCTCAGTTTCTACCCGTAGCTTAGAGACGTAACAGTTTTCTCAGCACATGAACCCATCGGCTTCCCCACAACTATGGGTTAAATAGTAGGACCTGTATCTGGTAAAATCATTATTATTTTTAAAAAATGTTAATGGAATATTGACTCGTAAAAAAAGATTCTTACAACCCCAAATGCTTTGGCTTTAAATAACCCATAAAGGGTTGATAAACCATAAGCAACAAATAAATCAATCAATTCTTAGAAAATCAGCTGTTCGAGTTAGCGCTGTCCTATGCTCATTCCAAATGATGTCAGATATCTCCAAAGGCGTTCCGCGAAGCAGAACGATATCTGGAAACAGTCCTGAGTGTTCCAATCATAAAAGGTACCACAAAATCTATCAGGAACCATTCTTGGCTTCTCTAGTACCCAAGTATGATAACAGGGTGGCTTCTTTTTTTATTATTATGCATGTGCTTTGTATACTTTTATTTGGCTTGGCTGGATGTTCTAGTGAGTATATTGGGCTTTATAGCGATTTTCCAAGTGTAGCTTGGATGTGGCATAAGGCCGAAAGTAAGGCGCACCCAGTGAGGATTGAACTCACTTGTAATTGTTCTAGCGAGACAAGCTTGCTAACCATTACACCACCTCTGAACTTCATATATTTATCTCCCAACTTGACTCTTTCAACAACAACATTAATAATTAGGATTTGATTTGATATCCTCTCCGACGTTTCAATCGATTGATGACGGTCATACCTAAGCTCCTACCCACAGTTTAGAAACACAACACCTTCATCAGCATATACAGTGCTGTCACCTACACACTTCAAATGATACCAGGAATCCCCAAGGAAGGTCTGGATTTATTTCCGATTGCGTCAGTCACAAAAAGTGACAAATTTATCTGCTCTTTGATGTGTTGCTCTTGCCCTGCCAATTTATCTGCATATTTTAACATATTTTAATAATTATTATACACAGAATCATTGAAGCACTCGATGGTAGACATCACAACAGCGATTGTCCTAAATATCTCAAAGGAAGCTTTTGTCAAGGTGTGTCAGAGGGATTTGATACACAAACTCTCCAGCTAGGGTAGCTCTGAAAGAGTCTTTACATTTATCAACTCATTTCTTTTATGTAGGTCCATGTAGGTGAATGACTAATCTTCTGGAGCCGATGAAATCAACGCAGACGTCGCAAAACGCTTGTTTCGATCCTATCCTCTTTCTGCTTTCTATTTACGATCTAAGAATATTGTTAGATCATTAGTAAACATCTATGTAGATGTTGCCACAATTTACGGAATTACCTCCAGAAATCCAGACAACCCGAGCTTGACAGATGATCTCTCCTATGACCGAGCTCAAACAGCTCAATGT